AAAAAAAAAAAAAAAAAAAAAAAAAAAGAGGAAAAAATTAAGGTTCATTACAGGTGTATGGCATGTTTCATTTGTATTAAAATTGTAGATGAAGACCTACCTACATATATAATCATACACAGAATATATCTCAGGGGAGGGAGATTGAGGCCCAGGGATCAGGAGCTGGAGAGAGACTTACGTTTCCTTGTATATCTTTTTATACTGCTTGGATCCTTTTTTTAAAAGTATGCCTTGGCTATTCAAAACCATTTTTCTTTGGTTGATAATGATGAGTCAGTGTTGATTATCAATTGTAACAAATGCACCTCATGTGGGATGTTGATGGTAGGGAGGCTGCCTGTATGTATGGGGTGGGGCAACGTGAGGACTCGCTGTACTTTCTGGTCAATTTTACTGTAAACTGAAACTGCTCTAAAATGTAAAGTCTATTCATCTGCAGAACTCTGCACCCCAAATCCACAGAATATACATTCTTCTCAGCACCACATCGAACTTACCCTAAAATTGACCACAAAATTGGAAGTAAATCACTCCTCAGCAAATGCAAAAGAATGGAAATCATAACAGTTTCTCAGACCACAGTGCAATCAAATTAGAACTCAGCATTAAGAAACTCACCTCAAATCGCATACAACTACATGGAAACTGAACAACTTGCTCCTGAATGACGACTGGATAAACAATGAAATGGAGGCAGAAAGAAAGATGTTCTTCGAAACCAATTAGAACGAAGACACAATGTACCAGAATCTCTGGGACACATTTAAAGCAGTGTCTAGAGGGAAATTTATAGCAATAAATATCCACATGAGAAGCAAGGAAAGATGTAAAATTGACACCCTATCATCAAAATTGAAAGAGCTAGAGGAGCAAGATCAAAAAAATTCAAAAGTTAGCAGAAGACAAGAATTAACTAAGATCAGAGCAGAACTAAACAAGATAGACACACAAAAACCTTTCAAAAAATCAATAGATCCAGGAGCTGGTGTTTTGAAAAGATCAACAAAATAGACTTCTAGCCAGACTAATAAAAAAGAAAAGAGAGAAGAACCGAATAGATGCAATAAAAAATAATAAAGGGAAAATCACCACCAATTCTGCAGAAATACAAACGAACATCAGAGATTGCTACAAACAACTATATGCCCATCAGCCAGTAAACCTGGAAGAAATGGCCATACTGTAAAAGTTATTTATAGATTCAACACTATCCCCATCAAGCTACACTGACCTTCCTCACAGAACTGGAAAAAACTACTTTAAACTTCATATAGAACCAAAAGAGAGCCCGCATTGCCAAGACAATCCTAAGCAAAAAGAACACAGCTGGAGGCATCACAATACCTGACTTCAAACTATACCACAAGGCTGCAGTAACCAAAACAGCTGGTACTGGTACTAAAACAGAGATATAGACCAATGGAACAGAACAGAGGCCTCGGAAGTAACATCACACATCTACAACCATCTGATCTTTGACAGACCTGACAAAAACAAGTAATAGGGAACGTATTCCCTGTTTAATAAATGGTGTTGGGAAAACTGACTAACCATGTGCAGAAAGCTGAAACTGGACCCCTTCCTTACACCTTACACTAAAATTAACTCCAGATGGATTAAAGACTTAAACGTAAGACCTAACACCATAAAAACTCTAGAAGAAAACCTAGGCAAAACCATTCAGGACATAGGCATAGGCAAGGACTTCACGACTAAAACACCAAGAGCAATGGCAACAAAAGCCAAAATAGGCAAATGGCATCTAATTAAACTTCAGAGTTTCTGCACACAAAAGAAACAATCATCAGAGTGAATCGGAAACCAACAGAATGGGAAAAAATTTTTACAATCTACCCATCTGACAAAGGGCTAATATCCAGAATCTACAAAGAACTAAAGTACAAGAAACAAATAAACAAACCCATTCAAAAGTGGGCAAAAGATATGAACAAACACTTTTCAAAAGCAGACATTTATGAGACAAACAAACATAATGAAAAAATGCTCATCATCACTGGCCATTAGAGAAATGCAAATCAAAATGACATTGAGATACCATCTCATGCCAGTTAGAATGGCGATCATTAAAAAATATGGAGACAACAGGGGAGGGACAGCGCGGGGTAGGGAGGTTGGGGAGGGATAACATTGGGAGAAATGCCTAATGTAGGTGACGGGGGATGGAGACAGCAAACCACCATGGCATGTGTGTACTCTGCAATAATCCTGCAAGATCTGAACATGTACCCCAGAACTTAAAGCACAATAAAAAAAGTAAAGTCTATTAATTTAAAAAAATTCAGTGCTAGACACAATAAACCCCTATATGAATAAATGTATGGCTAGATAGCTAGATAGAATGACTGATAAAGCAAAAGCTTTCTAGGAGATTCTGCTGTGAAGTGGGTCTGGGAACCAGGAGACGAGGTGAGCTCTAGGGTGTCTTCCAGTGAAGATTTCAGGTGAACTGAAGAGTAAAAAGCAAGCTTGGAAAAGCAAGTCAGTTGCAGACCGTAGAGAGTCTGGGAGGCTCAACTGAGAGTTTTAGGGTGTGTCTTGCAGGCACTGGAGAACACTGTTTTATATTGTTTTCTGGTAACCAGGAGCTGGATGACCTGGGAAAGTGCCAGCAGGCAAGCCAGGAGCCAAGGCCTTGATCCAGGAGGTGGCTGGAGAGGCGAGAGGCAGAAGAGTGTCTGGGATGGTGAGAGGCGAAGAGGAGAGAGTTGTAGGGACCTTGAAAAAATATTACAGTGAATCATGTGAAATTGCTGATACCAGACCATTTTGACCTTCAGTAATGGTAATTTCAGGCAGTTTGACCCAATTAAATTGACAATGTTAGGTGGCAGGGGCCATATCTGGGAGTGAAGATGGACAGGGAGATTTGGGGGTTTAGAGCCTTGGTGGGTTGGGCCCCGTTATTAAAAATAGAAGAGTGAGGATGTTAGAAGCAATGACTGAATGCAGTGTTATGGAACTTCAGATCTAGATGGGAGTCATACAGCAAATGCTTTTGCTTACTATTTCCTGAGTACATCTAGTGTTTTTTATGTATTTGTGCCTTTGCTTGAAACACTCTCTCTGCCTAGGAAATGTGCTGATTAAAAAAAAAAAAATAAAGATCCCTGTGGAGGACTAGTGAGAGGTGGGCGGGAGGTGGGGGCACAGAAAGGCCAGTCTACCTGGAGCAGAGCTCATGACCTCACAGGGTGAGAGGAGCTCATCAAGGACAAATACAATCATGTAAAATTGGTTCTGGTTGGCAACTGGCCTTTGAACAGAGCAGGCCTTAAGGAAAGTGACATTTTAGGAAGATGAAGTTGCAGGTGATAGGCAGGATTGATTTCTTGCAAAAGAGATCAGTGACCCCAGACTGAGGTGGTGATGGCCCCAGGCCAGGGAGATAGCAATTGGAGTGGGGATGAAATGCATGCTTCATGGCCTCACAGAATCTTGGAGCAAGAAGGAAGCTTAAATGTCATCCAGTTCAATCAGCACCTCTATTAATGCTCAGATCACTTCCTCAATCTACTATTTTCTTGAAGAATTTTGAGGCCATGAAATTCGTCACTCATGTGCCTTGGTCTACCTATGAGAGAGCTCATCTTTGTCAGGAGTAAAAAGCCAAACTTTGCCCGGCAACTTTAATTTTATAGATCAAGTCAAATTTATTCCTTCCTTCCTTCCTTCCTTCCTTCCTTCCTTCCTTCCTTCCTTCCTTCCTTCCTTTCCTTTCTCTTTCTTTCTTTCTTTCCTTCTTTCATTCTCTCTCTCTCTCTCTTTCTTTCCTTTGTTTTCTTTCTTTCTTTCCTGACAACCCTTCAGAGATTCGAAGCTACCAACCATGAAAGCTGAATCTTCTTGTTTCTATGCTACCCAGCTTCAGGGCTGTGGTTTTTACATGATTGTTTCCAACTAATGAATACACAATTAGATGATCTGAAAATTTTCATTGTGAGTTTATAGACATATTGGCACTAGTTAGTCTTTTTTTTAAAATTAAGTTTAGAAAGCCTACAACATATAAGGTTAAATATTTGTTGCCTCCTTTGAACATACGATGGCCAATAGTGTTTTTTTTTTTTTTAAAGAAATCTTGTGATTCTGAGTCTTTATTTACACAATCAAAGCTTGGAGATTTTAAAGAAGTGTAGATTTGTAGCTTCTGAAAATGAGTTTAGAATTTTTATGAAGTGTAACTTGACTGTGGAAGTCAGAGAAGGAGCCACAGTGACCTTTGAGAGGCAGTGCAAAGGGAGCAGCAAAGATGCACAAAGGACATTGAGAAACGAGGAGAATCATTGCAAATAGGAAGAAAAACTGAACATTTAGACGTACAAGGTGCAGAATAATCGTCAAGCAGTAATTATGAGGAAGGGCACAAAATAGGACACATGCTTCAGCTGTGAGCACTGAAATACAACATGCTGGGGAAGGTGTTAAAACACGTTAGACAAATACTCTAAAGGCTGCGTGATGGAGAAGCTTCATCTAAACATCTGTCCAAAATGCTTTCTCTAGTATAAGAACCACTCACATGGTGTGCACACAAAGCCAAAACCTGCAAAGAGCACATACAATTCCACACTCAGCAGTATGAACACATATTGGGGACATATCTGAGCCTCAGACTCACTAAAATTTATCTGAGAATAAAAAAGGACTGCTAATTGTATTCAAATGACATGTAAGAATGAATAAATAAATGTATTATTATTTTTAAGGTAACTATTAGGATTTGCTTAGCAGTGTATCTTACCCTGGATCCAGCCAGCATTAAATGAGTATCAAAGACCAACAGTTATTAGGATGCTTTTAAGATCCATTTATTAGCAGTAGTATTTTAAACCCCTTTGTATGAGCATGTACATCAATGTGTTATTGTCATAAAAGTTTCATTTTCTTAGCTTAGTATCTATTAATATCATTTAGGGCTAAACGCCAGTCAGATTCCAGCAATTCCACTCCAAAGAAGAGATCAAAATGAATGAAAACCTCCAATCTATATTTCCCATTTAGGAAGAAAAACCTTCTTGAATTTCACTTGAAAATTTATGAGAAGTTTGGGACTGAGTAAATGGCGGAGGGAGTGGAAGTTTGAATTTACTGCCTAAATATCTTGCTCTCTGCTTAGTAAGGTTGGGGCTGCCAAGTAGCTCACTGTAAGAGAGTGAATAATCCAGGTTCTTGGTGGAACTAGGCCATATATTAAATTTGGAAACCAGTCCATTGAAGTCCCTTCCAGGGCAACTCAATTAATCCTTCCTTAATGATGAGAACATTGAAACTTTTGCATCCAGACCAATCTCCAAAATTAATCAATCAAACTCAGAAGCTTCTCACAACGGCAGAGTATGCAGGATTTGGAGCACAGGACAGTAAAAATGCAGAAACACATCATTGTGTGGTGCTATCTCACTGCATCAAGGCCTAGCTAGGACTCCATGGCCATGGACAGTCTGCACACAAGTTGAAGCGATTAAGGCAGGCATGGGCTCCCTGTGTGAGAGGGAAGAATTAAGCCCCTGCTCCTTGCTAAGAACTCTGAGGCGAAGTGCAGAGAATCTCCCCAGCTACTCAGTGTTCTTAATGGCTCATTAAGCCTCCATCTACTGGCTGTCCCTACAAGTTCACTGGACAGTTGTCTAGTCATTGAGATTTTTCCAAATGTTGGATTATATCTGATGATTGCTGAGGTCACATTTAGGGTGGGTGTGGGATTGGTGGCAGAGCTGGGAGACTGCCTCGCTGTATCATATGAAGATGTATCCAGTTTCAAAGAACAGAACAGCCTCCTGTGTTCATTTGTTAGGGCTGCCAAGTACCACCAACTCAGTGGCTTAAACAACAGAGATATATCGTCTCTCAGTTCTAGAGGCAAGAAGTCTGAGATGAAGGTGTCAGCAGGATTGGTTTCCCCTGAGGCTTGTGCGGGAAGGATCTGCTCCAGGCCTCTCTGGCTTGTATGTGGCTGCCTTCCCTGCCTTCATTTTGTCTTCCTTGTATATGTACATCCCCAAATTTCCACACTTTTTTTTTTTTTTTTTGGTTGAGACAGAGTTTCACTCTGTCACCAGGAGCCAGGCTGGAGTGCAGTGGCACAATCTCGGCTCACTGCAACCTCCGCCTCACAAGTTCAAGCAATTCTCCTGCCTCAGCCTCCCGAGTAGCTGGGACTACGGACGCATGCCACCACGCCCAGCTAATTTTTGTATTTTTAGCAGAGATGGGGTTTCACCACGTTGACCAGGATGGTCTCAGTGTCTTGACCTTGTGATCCACATGCCTCGGCCTCCCAAAGTGCTGGGATTGCAGGCGTGAGCCACCACGCCTGGCCAATTTCCACTTCTTATAAGGACATCAGTCATATTGAATTAGGACCCCGTTCGTGACCTCATTTTAACTGGACTGCCTTTGTAAAAATCCCTATCTTCAAATAACGTCACATTCTGAGATACTGGGGTTCGTGACTGCAGCATGTCTTCTTTCAGTTTGAGATTCATTTATTATTAGTAGCATTTTAAATCCCTTTGCAGGAGCACATACATCAATGTGTTATTGTCATAAAACTTTCATTTCAATAGCTCAGTATCTATTAATACTATTTAGGGCCAAGTGCCAGTCAGATTTCAGCAATTCCACTCCAAAGAAGAGATCAAAATGAATGAAAACCTCCTATCGTGGCTGAAGCAGAGTTTGACTGGCTTATCACATAGGCAGTCCCAAAGTAAGCAGATCGGGGCTGATCTGGTTTCTCAGAGACACAATCAGGAACCACCACTCTCTCCATCTTTCTGCTCTGTCATTTGTTAAATGCTTGGTGCCTCAGGGTCAAAGGATGGCTGCGGCAACCCCAGACCTCTTGTCTACAGTCCAAGCCTGAAGAAGGCCAAGAGCCCCATGTCGGGTTGTGACAGGCAGAAGGATGGCTCCTTCTAGATACTCATGTTCTAATTCCCAAAACCTGTGAATATGCTACTTACACAGCAAAAAGGACTGCGGATGTAAGTTAAGGCCCTTGATAAAGGGAGATTATTCTGGGTTGTCTGGTGGACCCATAATAATCACAAGGTTCATATGAGGGAAACAGGGAAGCAGGAGAGTCAGAGGAGATGTGATGATGGATGCAGACAACCTCTGCATTTGCAATTGCTAGCTTTGAAGACAGAGGAAGAGGCCATAAGCCAAGGAATGTGGGTGACCTCTAAAAGCTAAAAAAGGCAAACAAACAGAAACCCTGCAAGAGATTCTTCCCTAGACTCTCCAGAAGGAACACCGCATTGCTAACATCTTGATTTTAGCCCAGTAAAATCCATTTTGAACTTCTAACCTCCAGAACCATAAGATGATACTTTTTTTGTTATTTTAAGCCACTTACGTTTGTGGTGGTTTGTTACAGCATTACAGGAAACTATTACAGGGGTTACCCCAAATGACAAGTGCATCAACCCCAACTATGTACTCTAGAACTGGGAAAATGGCCACCAGTTGTATCCAGTGACCCAGTGGACCAATTGTAAGCTAGACGTTAGCCAGGACTCCGCTGATTACGTGGATCTGAAATTTGGCTCCAGGTCTGGGAACTGAATGAAGAATCATGACGTTTTTATTGGAGTGATCTCCATCGGCTTCCTTCTCCTTCATTCTTGACTTATTCTGACTATAGATGTCAAAACAGTACCCTTGTTGGTTCCTGTCTGTTTCGCCCTTCGGGGTGCCATGTTGTATAAACCATCTTCACAGCTCCCTGTGGGTCAAGCCCCGTTGGCTACCCTTCTGACGTTGTAGCAGTTGTGGTCCCCTGCTTCTGGTAGTGAGGGACTGCTACCAGGCCTTCTGCAAATCACCATGAACAAGCCCAGCTTTGTGAGTGTCTCACCTACAGTCAGCCCTAGCCTGCTGAGGACAGCTATCACTGAGTCGATTAGCTGCTGGAGCTTGGAGGCAAGAACCCTAACCCTGCGGAAGCAAGGATGGACTCAGGCCGAAGAGTGCGCCTGGGAAGGCCCTTCAGCCTGGGCTCCCAGTCTCCCTTACCCTTCTCTGTCTCTCCCATCCACCCAGCACTCAGGGATCAAGAAACTCTCAAGGAAAAACTTCATCTTTTTCTGATTAAAAAAAAAAAAAATCTGGGCCAGGTGCGGTGGCTCACGCTTGTAATCCCAGCACTTTTGGAAACTGAGGTGAGTGGATCACTTGAGGCCTGGAGTTTGAGACCAGCCTGGCCAACATGGCGAAACCCCATCTCCACTAAAAATACAAAAAATTAGCTGGGCATGGTGGCGGGCACCTGTAATCCCAGCTACTCGGGAGGCTGAGGCAGGAGAATCGCTTGAACTCGGGAGGCAGAGGTTGCAGTGAGTCAAGATCACGCCATTGCACCCCAGCCTGGGCAACAAGAGCGAAAGTCTTATAAAAAAAAAAAAACAAAACTGCTTTGCGTAACTGGAGAGTGTGGAATTTCTAATTCTGATTTCAAATGAGCATGCTGCCACTGTTTGTTTCTCATATGTCTCTCCTGTTCTCTCAGCCCTGTGACCCTCGGTGTCCCCTCTTCTTTGTCTGTCCCCTGGTTTGTTTGTCCTTCTGTCCCGTCTCTTTTCTGGAACTCTCCTCTGTGACCATCACCATTCCCTGGCCCTTTTATTCTTCCTGCTGCCTTCCTTTCCTCTCCTGATAGACACCCCTCTCTCCCTTCAGAGCCCCTGCTCTCCCAACACGCCCGAGCACCTGCTCCAGGCCACCACAAGCACGCATGCCACCCGCACAAACTCTTCCTCCCTTTGCATTTCCTGGGCTCTGCTTTTGACCGAGCCATTGGCTTCTGACGTCAAAGTTTTCAGATACAGTAGATGTCAGTTATTCAGCGTCATTCTAGAGGCTGATCTGAATTCAAGAACTTTGGCCTGAGAGGAAATGTTTGGAGAAAGGCAATTTCACTACTTTGCGGTCTATAATTAACCTGTTCTACTATTGTCAAGGGGAAAGGAGAACACCTCTATAGCTCGTCAAAAGCCTTTACAGAAAGATAAGATTCACTCTCATTCTTTAAGCACTGTTGCAGATGTGGAACAGCTTACCTTCAAAGAGGTCAGCATTTCTTCTACTTCGCTACAAAATTACTAAGGAAAATCACATATTCCTCCATTGAGATAAAACTGCATCATGAAGTTTTCGTAAAACATTTTTTCCCCAAGTCTCAAAGGATGGCTTCATCCAACATTCAACAAATGAGTTGAAATGTTAAAAAGTTTAAACTGACGTGTGCTCTACGAATGCAAAATGTACAAAAGATGGCAACCTACATATAAGGAAGGTTTTTTTTTAAAGTGAATAAAATTTTATCATTAGGCTATGACTATTACTGGCCTTTTTGAAATCAAACACTGTCATTGAATATTTCCCTGAAGTTCAAATCAGGGGAGGGGAAGCCTCTGGGGTGAGGGTGGGAAGAAATTGACGCGACTTCATAGACTGCCATTTTGGCGATAACTTCATGGATTCTGTAAGACCAAAACCCTTAGGGCATGGTTTCTCGACCTCTCCAGGACTGAGCTTTGAGGACGGGTTATTCTTCCCTGTCAGGGGCTTTTCTGTGTGCTGTGGGATGCCTAGCAGCAGGCTTGGCCTCTGCCTCTAGACGCCGCCTCATCCCTCCTCCCCCCTATGAAACTAAGAATGCCTCCAGACATTGCCGAATGTTCCTGAGGGGTGTGGCGTGGGTGGAAATTGCCCTGGTGCGGAATCTGCCTTAGATTATAAATAAGGACGGAGATCCGGAGACCTCATGGCGCTTTCCATTAGTGGAAGAGGAAAGATATTCTTGGCTAGATCCTCCAAACCAAGAATCCCACCAGGCCCAGGAGAGCCTGGTAGGTAGCTGTGGGTCTCCCTCAAAGCTAACGAGCTGTGCCTGCGGGGCACTGAAGAAGCAGATGAAGGCAATTGAATGGGAAGCAGAGATCATGTTTATGCTCATCGACGAACCCTTTTCCTCATACCAAATTTTACAGCTTTCAGGAGACAGCAGCATTGGTTTTCTAACCGGCGAAACTAACACAAGGCCCCTGGTCAGTTCTAATGGGACTTCTGAAGATGAGACAGAATCTGAACAGCAGAGCTTGTCCCTGAGCGGGGGTAGGAGGAAAGCCCAGGCAGTGACCCCAGCTTGAGTAGCTGGTTACTACTGGTGTCTCCTTTTACTGGGCCTGCTGCCAAGATGGGAGAGGAGGCAAAGGAAGAAACATGTTGAGACCCGCAAGAGCGGTCGGGTGAGTAGAGACGGCAGCTGCTCAGGCTGGAAGAACAGCTGGACAGGCTGCAAAAACGGAAAAAACCTGGAGGCTTGGAAGGAAGAAAAGGAATTCCCTGCTCTCAAGATAAGAACTAATACCTAAGGACCGAGGATGAGACTCTTCAACTTTGAAAGAGATTTCAGTAGGGGAGCATTGCATCCTCTTCAGAAATTCCCACTGGAGGCACTTGAATCTAGCATACAACCCCTCTCCGGATTGCAGGGCAAGACTGACCCCAGGCACAGATGTTCTCAGAGGAGGCTTAGAAGAGCTGACCTTAAAGGGACACCTATGCCCAGGAGAACTGGTGGAACCAGGGCCTCCTATGGAAGGCAAAGCCTTCAGCATCTGAGTGTGAGCCTCACTGTCTTGTGGGAGGGACATCTTGATGAGAAATAAATGGAGAGGAGAAGCCCTAGGAGCATTAGCAGTGTGTGTGTGTGTGTGTGTGTGTGTGTGTATTGTATGTGTGTGTGGTGTTTATGTTTGTGTAGGGCTGATCTTTGACCCAATTCTCTGCAACGTGAAGAGCCAGAACAGTCGCCAGGCCATGTGGATATCTTACTGGGTAGGAAAAATGGGTCTATAGCCCTTTATCCAAATTCCATCATGTTTCCATTTCTTCCCAGCAATCTCCATGCAGGGAGTGGAATCTGTCTTCTGAGAGCCATGCAAGGAGTTGAGGAGAGCCCAATCCAGGAAAATATTCAAGTTCACAGAGTCAAGGCTATTTGGCTTGAAGAGGATTGTTTTCATTTAAGTCTCTCACCCATACCTCCAGGGGGGAAAATACATTAAAATTTTTATCTCTATTTGATGTCCAATGTCCTGTGAAGGGGACATTGGACATCAAACACTTCAGCAAAGGGATTGTGCTAGAATGAACCAAGAGGCTCCTGGTAGGAAAATTCCCCGGGATGAGGTGTTGGAGGAGGCTGTGTGAGTCATCCTGTCTCCATTGCCCAGCACAGGGACTGGCAGAGAGAAAGCATCAGCATATGTTTGTGGATTGATTAGATGAATTAGTTAATTAATTAGAGGGTGGATGCCTCTTTGCACAGTGGAGCCCTGCTGGGCGCTGTCAGCGCTCTCTCCACTGGCTTCTGGAGGCTGCCTGCTTCCTCTTGCAGGGAAACATGGGGCTAGAGGAGGAAGCCCACTGTGATGGTCCTTTGCTCCCAACTCCAATCCTGATTGCCCTCTGGTCACTGAGGCAAAGATGGCTCAGAGTTGGGAGGAGCTTAAAGACCAGAACCAAATCCAGAGGTGCCTCAATGAGCTCAGCCTGTCATAGAAAAGGCCCAGGGAAATAAATGATTAAAAAAAATAAAAAAAACAAATAAAAAGAAAAGGCCCAGGGACAGCCTGCAAAGCAGTAGCAAAGGAGGAATCTCTTCATACAGATATTGGTTTATGACCTCATCAGTCTCCCTGGGCACTGCTTTGACTTGGTGTTCCCTGGAATCCCCTAAAGGGAACCCCCAAGGAGCTTCTGGGATGAGAAGGCTTACCAATGGCTTAGAACATTTTGTGGGTTTGGCTGGCTTTGGACAGGAACGTGATCATATTTGAGGTTTCCTTTTAATTTGGGATGGCTTGATTAGTTCTGAGATGTGAGGTCTAGAATGAAACAAGCCATGCCTGAAGGGACAGGAGAGAAGGGGGGCTGGTTGGGTATTGGAGTAAAGGGGCCATCTGAATCCCAGAGGGAGGGGTAGGAGCATGCCTTCCTTTCGGTTGGCTCCAGCCTAGTGGGAGGGCAAAGAATGCCCAGGTTATAGTTGCCAGGTGTGCTAGGAAGCCCTAGAGCTTTCAGTATTAGCGGCCCGGGCCTTGGGAACAGAATCTGAAGTGACTCAGAGAAGCCATCTTGGAAGGCATTGGGTTTCTATTGAAACAGAGAGGAGTGGGCATAGGGAAACTTCAGTGCCAGTCGTCTGCTGGCTGCCATGTTTGAACCTTCCTGGTGTGATAGAGAGTAGAGGACAGGCAGGGAGATATCTTCCTTTCCTTGAAAATCAGGACGGAAAGTCCTGATGCCCAGAAGTTGAGAGAGAGAGACGCCATTTCTGGGGTGGGCAGTGCTCTTTTGGAAATGGAAATGATCTTAGGAACATTTAGCAAGAGCATTCATTTTTTCCCCCACTAAAAGGGGGCTTCAGTCAAAACAATCGCTTTCATCTTCCATCCTGAAATAAGTCCCAGGGAACACAATATGTGTCTTTTATTCCTGCTTTTGGAAAGAAGGCAGTAACAAATAATAGAAGAGTTCTTTCAGAGAATCTTCCACTCACATACATTGTTCCAAACAGATTTCACACCCTATCTAGCCCACTGATTTGCATATAGTATATGCTCAATAAATGTCTGAAGCAAAATTGCTTTAAATAGTCCTTAATTATTTTGGCTTTTTCTATATCTAGAAACCAGCAGAGAATGCTAAATTAGAATTTGGGAACTGGATGTATGTGGCAGAGCTAGCTAATTACCACATACATTTTCTCTTGTTCCTGGGAATACAGCTAGATGACACTTCCCAGCCTCCTTTGCATGTGGCCATGTCATCAAGTTCTAGCCAACAGAATGCGAGTGAAAGGGACTTGCTTTATGTTCTGGGCTCCCATACATTCTTGACCTTTTGTACTAACCTTGGAGAAGGTAAAACTACAAGATGGAGGGATTCGGGGCACCTGAATCACCACTAGAGACGAGTTACTTGCTGATCACAAACACCTATTTTGGATTCATATGAGCCAGAAATGTACTAACATTATGGGATGCGATTGAGATTTTGTGCTTTACCTGCTGTATTACAGCTGGTGGTACCTCGTTGAGAAACTGGTATTTGGTACCTTGAAGTGAGGTTTTTCTGTAACTGAACTCAAAATGTGTGGTGTTGACATGCCGTCTAGTCATGGAGTGAGAGAATTGCTAACAGATGACGGAAAGATGGACACCTGCGTTAAGCAGTGCCAAGACATTTGGTAAAACTATCACCTTTGATCATTTTAAAGGCAGACTACATATTGAATAGAACTGTGGCTCTAGAAAAAAATGTGTTGGTTTTTACTTTTTGTATTATACTATGAATACAAATACTCTCAGGAAATGTTTGGCCAATTAGCAAGCATAAATGAAAAAGAATATAGAGAAAAGCCAGTGCTTTTAGACAACACGTATTAAAAACCACGGCCAGTATCAGTGAAACACAGCCACTGAGTCCTGTAGTGAAGATCAGATGAAAGGAGTGCTCTTATTACCTGTTGTTTGCAGTGGCCTCAAGGTAGGAGCATTAGGTGGAGAGATGGAATGGAGGTGAAGAGGCAATAAAGACATCAGGCTTGAAAATTGTGTCTAAGAAAGAATTTGGGGTATGATTCCTGGCACATGGAACTACCTAGAAGAAAATACATCAGAAACCTGCCAAGTTTTTGAGATCACCGGATTGCCAAGGAAACCGGTAGCCTGCATTTAAAAAGGTTTTGACGGAGACTTAAAATAATCCCCACTATACAAGCCTTGCACAAGTGGAGGTGGGCTGTGAACGCAGGACCTCATACTCACCCGTACCCCCTTCAACTGTGACCTGGAGAGTAGCGGGTTAGCGGGCGAGGAAAACCCTCCCAGAAGGCTGAGCAGGTGGTGGTGAGAACAATGGACGTGCAATGTTTCCCTGAGGCAGAATCAGGGTTAAGTAAGGGAACTTCCTGTAAGGCCAGGGGAAGGGGCCAGGCAGGACTGCATCACTGCTTTGGATTTACGACACTGAGGGTCTCCCCTTCTTCCCAGGCCTGGCTGGGACTTACTGTGGATTTCCGGTTCCTACCCCACCACAGTTTGACTGTCGTATTTGTGGAGGGCAGAGAGTCTGTCCTGTGGCACCACAAGGAGCCACACCTAGACCCAGGGATCTTGGGCTGTGAGCTGGTTGTTGGGACTGGCATGAGCTTGAGTCTGTTTTCTGTATCCTGAGAAGGGAGAAACAGATATTCTGTGCCCTGAGGGATGGCCTGTGGCAGACACTGCCAGTTGTTCACCGGGCCCACTTTTCCCTGGACACATGGCCACACGACACTGCCCAGGATCCCTTGCCACAGGCATGTCCGAGTTTTCAGCCATTGGAATCTGGGTGAAGGTAAGAGGTCTACTCCCAGGCTCAGCCATAAAACCTTCCCACCCATCCTGTCTCCTCCCAGTCCTGGCAGCCATGGAAACCACGTGTTGAAGCTGGCAGAGCCACAGGAGGAGACCCTGGGCCCCGGATCCCCACTTGAAGGAAAGCTACCTGATGGCCGAGAGCACCTTTCGGACTTCACATGAAAAGGAATCCTGTTAGTACTCTGCTGAGATTTGGGGGGTTTATCTGTTTCAGCAGCAGAGTGATCTGAACTCACATAACTGCAAAGGAACAATGTTTGCTTTCCCTCATTCACTGGTGAGTCTCTGCTCCTTTCAGAACCATGCTCACTTCCATAGTCAATTTCACCTCTTTTCCGTCAGCTTGAAGAAGTGTGGAAAATAATTTATCAGAGAATTGGAAGATTTGGCCATAGCCACAATTCCGTCACTTTTTTTTT